ATAAATCTGGGTCGTTCCGGTTACGTAGACCCGACCTGTCGTCACAATTAGCCAGTGCCAGCGCGCGAAAGCGGACGTGGTTTTTCTGCGCTCCGTGATTTTTTGTGTTTTTCGGGCTATATTGGCCTTTTAAAGGACCAGAGCAAATGCACGTTTTAGGCGATCAAGACAGTGACTTTATCTTGCTTAATGGCTATCAAAAAAAAAAAAATAAATAAATAAATAAAAACTAATCATTAAATTAAAATGCCTTGTGTTTGTGGACTAAGAGTCGAGAGAAGCGCCAAAGCTAAAGTGCAATGTGCCAAGTGCAATGACTTTTTTCATTTAGGCTGTGTTGGTGTCACGTCAGCCGATGTTGAGTTTCTACTTAGCTCAGCAAAACATTATTTTTGCAAAATATGTGCGGATGTTCGTCGCAGATCTATCCGCACCCCTCCTCCTCCAGTTAGTGTAGATGAGAATGTAATATCAACAAACGAAACTCACTCGTATAATTTGGAACAAATTGACAATGCAAAAACAATGCCTATTGCGGACAGTGTAATTGAGAATGCGATGTCAACAAGTGTAACTAACTTGCATACCTCGGCACAAGTAAACAATGCAAAAACAATGTATAATGTGAATAGCTCGCAAATCTCTTTGGCTACATTAAGTAGTGAACTGGCTGCTTTTAAGTCTGAGTTTGCTCGCGCAATGCAAATGATTAGTGCTCTTCATGCAGACAAACAGCTTTTGTTAAGCAAAACCGATGAGCTGCAATCGGAAATCAATGCTATGCATAAACGTCAGACCGAAGATATTGCCTCTTTCCTCGCGTTGCTCACTGCTGAGGTTAAAGATCTTCGTTTGTGTGTAAATGCATGCGAGTGCCGTAATAGAAACGAGAAAAGTGCAAAAAACAAAACCAAGCAAAAAAACGCTTCGTCGTCCTCTACTCTGTGTGATGCTACTCAAAAAAACAACTCATCGTCATCTACGTTGTTTGCTGATACACTCGTTCCGGCTGTTACTGCTAATAATAATTGCAGCTCATCCGTAGGTGAATTGAGTGGTTCGCCTCCTGCTAAGGCGCGGCAATTGAGTGAACAAAGTAATCCTACTGCTGTTTGTGAAGCCGCTATCTCAATACCTGCTTCTTATGCTGATGTTGCTAACAAGGCTTGTGTGGTTGATGCTGTCTATGCTGCCTCGACTTCTGCCTCTGCTGCTAATTCGGCTGCTGCTGATATTGGTAATGTACAATCTCAATCAAACGCTGACGCCCTGTCGACACTTCGCTCAGCACTCCCACGGGCTGAATCCAACTGGCATTCTCCGGCACAGTGGTCGCGAATGCAAAGAAGAAAGTTCAAAAAACAGAACACTACTGACGTCGTAATTGGTGTTAACAAAAGTACAGATCTTGATGTAGTTGCATCCAAAAAATGGATCCATCTGTCGTCCTTCAAACCTACTGTTAGTGCCGCAAATATTATTTCCTATGTAGCGAAAACCGCCAAAATTGATAGCAGTCAAATAGCCTGCTTCCCTCTCGTTAAAAAAGATTCTGATATTAATAAGCTAAGGAAAATTAACTTTAAGCTTGGTGTCTCGACTACGCTCCTTGACAAGGTTTTAAATCCTACGTTATGGCCAGCCGACGTCAAAGTTCGACCATTTCAATTTATCCAAAATGCTACCGAAGAAAATGAGTCTGCCTAGCAACTAACATCGAATGTTGCTGTTAATTGTACTATTCCTCCTGGGAAAGTCCCTTGTTTGAAAGTTTACTTCCAAAACATTTCTGGAATGCGAACGAAGGCTAATGTGGTTCAGGCGTTTAGTGCACAATTGGACTATGATATTATTGTAATCGTAGAGACCTGGCTAAACTCGGATTTTTTCGACAGTGAATTCTTTGATTCGAATACTTTTAACGTATTTCGCAAAGACAGGGATGCCGCCAAAACGGGCTGTTGTCGAGGTGGTGGTGTTCTGATTGCCATACATCGTAGGTTTCAGGCTTACCCGATTACACTTCGTTGTGATGACTCGCGGCTTGACCAGCTCTGCGTTTGTGTCAAAGGCTCCACGTCTTGTGGCTCATTATATTTGATAGTATCATATATTCCTCCAAATAGCCCATTTGACTTGTATAAGGCACATGCTGACAATATTGTCTCTCTATCTTTAAGTGAGGTAAATGAAAACCATATTTGTGTTCTTGGAGATTTCAATTTAAATAACGTTTCGTGGTCTAATAATTTTTCTAAATCTGGCCTTATACCAAATAATATTAGTTCTGCGCACGAATCGTATTTTATTGACAGTCTTTTAAGTCTTAACCTTGTTCAAATTAACAATTTCTTTAATAAGTTGAATAAGATTCTTGATCTCATTTTTGTTAGTGATAACATAAATTATACCTTGTCCGAAAGTGTTTCCTCTATTACTCCGTCTGGTTTGCACCACGTTTCTCTAGACTTGTACGTTGAGTTTTATAACTTTTCTGTTCCTTATTCCGATGATAAATTATCTTTTAACTATTTTGCTTGTAATTTTCAAACTCTGGATAATTTAATAAGTAATACCGATTGGGACGAACTACTTTCGGACTTGGATATCTTTAGTTCTTTTTCTACTTTTAAAGCTACTATGCGTGAAATTTGCTTAGGTAATATACCAGTTAAGAAAAAAAAACTATATAAACGACCTTGGTATACTAAAGATCTAAAAAAGCTAAAAAATCTTAAAAATAATCTTTACACTAAGTTTAAACTAACAAAGAATCATTCGCTCTTTGTTAAATATCAACATTACGCCAAAGAGTTTACGAATTTGAATAAACTTCTTTATAATAATTATATACGCAATGCTGAGTCCGATATTAAATCTAACCCTAAGCGCTTTTGGAATTTTGTCAAAGCAAGAAAGGCATGTTCCAATATTCCTTCTGCTGTGTTCCTTGAGGATAAATTTGCGTGTACCCCTGGGGAAGCGGCCAATTTGTTTGCTGAATTTTTTTGAATCAAATTTTGTTTGCGATGATATTGACTCTCATACGGATTTTTCAGCTGATATATCTTCATTGCTTGATTTTGGCTCCTTGTGTCTTTCCGCTGAGGATGTCTCTAAGGGGATCCTTGCACTTAAATCCTCTACACATACGGATATTGATGGCCTTTCGGCTCTCTTATTAAAAAGTTGCCCTGCGATGGTTCAGCCTCTGTGTTTAATATTTAATAAATCGCTTTCCTCTGGGATTTTTCTGGATGATTGGAAAATAACCACCATTACCCCTATTTTTAAAAGTGGTAAAAAAAATGATGTTCGCAACTATCGGCCTATTTCTAAGCTCTCAACGATTTCTAAAGTTTTTGAACACATAGTTAAAGATAAGATTAACTTTGCTGTTAAATCGCTTGTTTGCCATAATCAGCATGGCTTTGTCGGTGGCAGATCTACTGCTACCAATCTCACAGTTTTTAGTGAGTATTGTATTGCGGCCCTTTCGTCCGGCCTTCAGGTGGATTGCATTTACACCGACTTCTCAAAAGCTTTTGACAAGGTTTCACACAAGATTTTAATTGAAAAACTAGCTTGCTTGGGGTTCCATTCTATTTTCTTGGACTGGATTAATTCCTACCTGTGTAATAGGCGGTGCGTAGTTTCCCTTGAAGGTATCAACTCAGAGCCTTTTTTAGCGTCTTCTGGGGTCCCTCAAGGTAGCATCCTAGGCCCTCTTCTTTTTGTGTTATTTATTAACGACGTGACTAGTTGTTTTTCATTTGCTAACTACCTACTTTACGCCGATGACTTGAAAGTATTTTCGACAATCAAGGATACATCAGATGCATTTTTGCTGCAACGTGATCTCGATAGCCTTTACACATGGTGCTTAAAATCTCGTCTTTCACTCAATATCAAAAAGGGCTTTAGTGTCACTTTTTCCAGACTACTTAATCCCATAAATACCATTTATCGTATTTCGAGCCGCGATTTGCTCTGTGTCTCTGAAATTAAAGATCTTGGGGTTATCTTTGATACCAAATTTTCATTCAGTAGTCATATCAATTATATTACCTCTAAGTCCTACTCTGTACTTGGCTTCATTAGACGTAACTCTACTAAGTTTTCTGACCCGTATACTATGAAATTACTTTATACATCATATGTTCGTTCTCATTTAGAATATGCGGTTGTTGTTTGGAGACCTAGTAATCAGCTTTACAGTAATAGAATTGAACGTGTTCAAAAAGTATTTTTGAATTTTGCCCTACGCTCCCTGAGATTTCAGACCCCGATTCCATCGTACGAATCACGTTTATCGCTAATAAATTTAAAAACTTTAAATAATCGTAGGACAGTGTTATCTCTATCTTTTACACACGGTATCATTAATGGACTT